CGTATGAGAAATAGTAGCAGTTTCACCTTTATTTTACACTTAATGTACAATTAGAGGACAAGATCTCCCACCCCTGAAGACTTGGTAACAGTTAAGTTTCGACTTTGGAATTCTTAGGAAAGAAATAGGAAAAATCACCAACATGCTTGGTTGGCAGTGAGTTTGGGGTGAGGTAATCCTAGGATCCTTGAATTCCCTTTTTCCAAAATATGGAAAATGAGTGGTTGTCACTGGTGATGGCATAGTTGTCGCCGCTCCAGAATAAGGAGGGAGAAAGTTGTTCTATGACACATCAGTGTCCTGGGCTCAGTCAGAGTGACCTTGTCCCCAGAGTGGTGTCAGAGCCCCCAGTTTGCAGATAAGGCTGTGATTGCCCCCCCACTTCCTTCCTTCCTTCCTTCCTTCCTTCCTTCCTTCCTTCCTTCCTTCCTTCCTTCCTTCCTTCCTCCCTCCCTCCCTCCCTCCCTCCGTCCCTCCCTTTGTCCCTCCCTTCCTTCCACTAAATATTAAGCATTTACTGTGAGCTGGCACTGTGCTGATCCCTGGGATGCAGAGGGACTGAGGTGTGGACCCTGTCTCCACTGAGGAGCTGACAGTCTGGCAGGGGAGGCCCCTACATGGACCAGCCACTGAATGCAGAAATAAGCACGGGAAGCATTGCTGATCCGGAGGAGGGAGTGGCAAACTGTTCAGAAAAGCTCCATGGGGATGGCCGCACTCCTGCGAGGGTTTGAGGATGTGTGAGAGCCCACTGAGCACGGGAGCATCGAGGTGCTCTGGAAGCAAAGGGCAGAGAGCATGTGCCCAGGAGCAGTGGGAGACAGTGGGAAGTGGGCCTCATCAGAGCCTTGGAGCCTCGGCATCCCCTCTGCGGCAGGCGTGGCTCTGGTGGAGGCTGGGGAGTTCATCCAGGACTCCGAGAAGTGGCCCTGATGTTCCAAGTGGGAGATGACGTGAGCTGGAGAGCCAGAGAGGAGGGGTGTGTTTAGCTCTTGAAGAAGCCAAATCTACCAGGCGTGGTGACTGAGGGTGAGGGAAGGGAGGAGTTAGGGGTGACTCCCAGGTTTTTGGCCGAAACCTCTGGGTGGAGGGGGAGGAAGCCGGACTGGCCCCCAGCCGGTTGGTTCCCAGCCCAAGCGTGGGATGCAGAGCTTCCTCTCGTAGCTGCTGGGCTGTGAGGGAGGTAACGCGGCCTGTGTAGCATGAGCAGCTCTGGCCTGAGAGCCCAGTGATGCTGACTGTGCTGCTCTGCCTGGAAGAGTAGAGAAGAAATGGCCCCTAATTAAGGGGCAGGAGGGGCGGGGGCTGTGCTGCCAGCAGCAGTCAGGGGTGGTGTTCTTTTTCTTTCTTTTTTTTTTTTTTTTTTTTTTAACTTCTGTTTACTCATGGGAGAAAAGAAGCAAAGCTTTGAGAGCAGGGAACTTCAGAAAGGCAAAATATCTCTTATTACTGTGGGAGCTGGAGAGAGCTCTTGCTGGAAAACTCAGAAGGCTGGCTGCAGAGGGAGAGCCCCACTGGGGAGTGGGGAGTCTGGCAGGAAGCCCGGGAAGGTTTGAGCACCAGAGTGAGATTCAATGATTTATTTAAAAAAAAAAAAAAAAAGACATTTTAATCAGTCTTCTTATAATCAAACAGACTAGCTTCTTTGTGATCAGAGCTAAAATGATGAAAAAATACCAAATTGGACCTTATCATTCAATTTTTTAGGATACTATTACATAGTATCAGTTCAGGTTGTTCAAACGTCACTATTTTTTTTTTAATTTAAAAAAATCATCTTTGCTAATGACAAAGGGGTAGCAGAGAACTTGGTTTGACTGAACAGTCAGGGTGGAACACCCACAGGAAACCCAGTAGAATGTGTATGAGGCATGTCTCACCTCTTTGGAGGGGCTCTTGTTCTAGGATCCCTGGAGCCTCAACAGGCCTGTGAGAGAATTCAGAGGGTCAGTGAACTTGGATGGGAAAAAAGTTGCATCTTTACTTTGACCGAGTTCTAATAAATTTTGTTTTTATTATGAATGAAATATTCAGAACACAATAGTATTAGCAATGTTTGTTACCATTAGAAATCACAGCTCTTTTTATATTGCATTATAATTGTGGCAGACATCTGAAAATGTCATTTATGCTTATCACTACTTTGGATTTATAGTAGTTTTTAGATCCACTACTGTGTGACAAGATCCAATGCCTTATTGAACAAGTACATCCATTACTATATTACAATATTTTTTTAATATGGGTAACTGTACTTCAGTATAATTGGCTTTCTTTTTACTCCTATGCATTGTGTCTCCATGCATTTAAAAACATTATTATGCACAGGTTTCATCAGCTTCACAACTGATGCACAGGTTTCATCAGCTTCACAACAAAGAGATCCGTGGCACATGAAAGGTTAATAATCCCTGGCTAAGATCCTGTAGTTGTGACATGAGACCTCCACCTGGTGGCAGCATACTCCTTAAAGGTTAAATCGATAATCAACATGGAAGAAACTTTTAAAATAACAGTGTATTTGCATATGGTTTTCAAACATTTTTGACCACAACCCACAGTGAGAAATAGGCTGTATATCATAACTCAGTACACTCATACCTAAGTTTCACAAAACAAGACTTAACTTTACCGTGTGACACATTGATTTTTTTTTTATCCCATTTCTCTTTCATTAAAATAAAATGCTGGTTGCAGCTCACTAAACTGTAGTTCTGTGGGTGACATTGCACTGTTGGACATTGTAGGAGACCCTTTTTCATTATACTTTATGATTTATTACCCAGGGACGTTCACTTTGTTCTCCCCCAAAATACCCACACATTTTCAAGGACATAATACTTACATTTTAAATATATGTCAACAAATATGAGTATATTTTTACACAGTACTTAAAAAATCATTTATTATTGATATGTAACATATATACAGGGAAACGAACTGATCTTAATTGTATAACAAGACATAGAACATTCCCCAGTCAATTTCTCCCTGAGCAATCACTGTGCTGATTTCTTTGACCATAGATTTAATTTTGCTTTTCTAGAACTTTATATAAATGGAATCATGCAGTATGTATTTTAGCCTGGCTTTGCTCAGTGCAATGATATTGATATTAGTCCGTGTTGAGCGGATCAGTAGTTTGGTGAGGAGGGTTCCATTGCATGAATATACCACAATTTGTTTGTTCTCCTGGTGAGAGACTTTCGGGTTGTCTTCCATTTCGATTCTTGCAAATAAAACATCCACACACATTTGTGTACATTTCTTTGTGTGCACATATGTTTCATCTCTCGCAGGTAAATACCTGAGGTGGAATTGCTGGCTCAGATGGTAAAATAAATATGTGTTTAACTGTAGGAAACTGACAAACATTTGCCAGGGTGGTTGAACCATTTTCCATTGCCACGAGCAGTGTGTGAGTTTGGGTCACTCCCCATCCTTACCAACATTTGGTGTGCATCAGTCTTTTTCACTGCAGTCATTGTGGTAGGTGTGTAGTTGTATCTCTTGGCAGTGTTAATTTGTATTTGCTTGATAAGCGATGATGTTGTACACTTTTTTTCATGTGCCTATTCACCAGTTGTTTTTCTTAATTGTGAAGTGTCTGTTCAAGCTTGTGTTTTGTTTTCTTAACGTCAATTTGTAGAAGTATTTTTTACATATTTTGGACACCAGTCCTTTTGTCCGACACGTGCATTTATGAATATTTTCTCCCAGTCTATGGCATTTAAAATATCCATTTTATTAATGGTGTCTTTTGATGAGCAGAAGTTTTAAATTTTGATCAAGTCCAGCGTGCTGATATTTTCTTTTATAATTAGTGCTTTCTGGATCCTGTCTAAGAAATCTTTTTCTACCCCAAGTTTGGGAAGATAGATTTGATTTTTTACATTTAGTTCTGTGATTCATCTCAAATCAGTTTCTGTGTATGGTGTGAGGTAGGTGTCGAGTTTCATTTTGTTTCCATATTATATCTGGTATTCTCACACCGTTTGTTGAAAAAAAATTTTTTTTCACCACTGAATTATAGCACAGAATTTAAAAAAAAAAATTGTTTAGCCAAAGAGGTACAAAAATGACTTTCCCTGCTGGCCATAAAGCAACCCACGGTGCTTTTCTAAGTTAGTTCATCCACAGTTATCTTGAGATTCTCAGATTACTTTACTCATACGGTATGAGGGTTTATGAAGCTACACGTTTTTACAAGGTCTGTAGCCATGCCGCAGAGCTTCTAGCTACATGTGGCTGTTTAAATTAGCTTGAAATTAAATAAAATTAAAAGTTCAGCTTCTCAGTCACCATAGCCACATTTCAAGTGCACAGTAACCACATAAGGCTATTGGCTTCCCTATTGAACAGTGCAGATAGAGAAGATTTCCATTTTTTCCAAAATGCTAGACAGCACTAGCCTATCAAATAAGAAAGGAGACAGGCTTTGTAGCATATTTTAATAAAACTCATGTAGTTTTCATAACTGTCATTCAGCATCTGCCTTCTGCTCTTTGGTTCTTTTTCGTTTGTCCGTGCTTCTAGTTCTAGTCCAAGATGTACGGTTCCAGCCAATCCTTTTGTCTGTCTAAAAATGCAGTAACTTCTGTCTGTTCTCGCCTATCTGGAAGAAAGAATTCCCCTGGCCGTCCACGGACTCATTCTTTTCTGGAGCCTACCTCGTACTGACCTATTTAACTTTTCTCGGTGTTTAATAGCCTTCCAACTGCTGCCAGATTTCTGGGCATCCTCCTTGAAGGTGCGGCCCAGAGATAGATATTTTGTCTTTCCTATCCTGATTGAAATTAAATCTCTCCCTAGCATTTCTAGCATAAATTATAAACTTGCAAAAAGCATCGGGTTATGAGTTTTACCCCGCCCCATATTAACGTTTCTGTCCAGTAGTGAACTTTGTTGCCGTTTCATCATGAGCAACCACATAGGAATTTGTGAGATTTTCTCTCATTGTTTGCTGGGCGTAAGCTAACTCTGCCATTAATGTCTTTCAGTGTGGGAATTTTGCTGTCCTGGTGGATCTTCATATATCTCCGCGAGGTTCAAACAAAGATACCAGCTGGTTTTCTGAACAGAAGAAAGAGGTACCAGAAAACTTTTCACTATTTTTTAAAATTGAAGTATAGTTGATTTACGGTGTTTCAGTTGTACAGCAAAGTGATTCAGTTATACATACAAACACACACACACACACGTATTCTTTTTCAGATTCTTTTCCGTTATAGGTTATTACGTGATATTTTTTAAATAAATTCTTTCAGGAGTTGTTTATTTCATTAGTAGTGGAATTAGTTCTTTTTTTTTTTTCTTTTTGGCTGCATTGGGTCTTTGTTGCTGTGTGCAGGCTTTCTCTAGTTGCGGCAAGCGGGGGCTACTCTTCGTTGCGGTGCATGGGCTTCTCATTGCAGTGGCTTCTCTTGTTGCAGAGCACAGGCTCTAGGAGCATGGGCTTCAGTAGTTGTGGCACTCGGGCTTCAGTAGTTGCAGCACGCGGGCTCTAAAGCGCAGGCTCAGTAGTTGTGGTGCACGGGCTTGGCTGCTCCGCGGCATGTGGGATCTTCTTGGACCAGGGATCGAACCCATGTCCCCTGCTTGGCAGGTGGAGTCTTAACCACTGCTCCACCAGGGAAGTCCTATTACATGATACTGAATATAGTTCCCTGTGCTCTCCTTAAAACTTTTCACTATTTTAAATGCAAGGAGCTTTTAAAAGAATATTAGCTCTTCTTCCAGCTTTCATTTTCATTAGTGGACAATAAATCTTGAGTGCTATTTAATCCTTGAAAAACAGTTGTGTTCCCCACAACAGACATACACCTGCTTTTTTGTTGTTGCTGTTTCTTTGGAAACTGACACATCTATTTCCTTTGCTATTCTAGTATTTAAACCAGAAATTTCCTACCTCTTTGTTTGGGGGAAAGGGTTCTTTGTATTAAAAAAAGAAGAGGTTGGGGCTTCCCTGGTGGTGCAGTGGTTGAGAGTCTGCCTGCCGATGCAGGGGACACGGGTTCGTGCCCCGGTCCAGGAAGATCCCACATGCCGCAGAGCGGCTGGGCCCGTAAGCCATGGCCACTGAGCCTGCACGTCCGGAGCCTGTGCTCCGCAGCGGGAGAGGCCACAACAGTGAGAGGCCCGCGTACCGCAAAAGAAAAAAAATAATAAAAGAAAAAGAAGTTAAAGTGACTTTTCCAGGTAAGCAGGGACTGTAATCCTGACTGGCCGTAAAGGATGGACTGAGCACCTGGAGCAGGTGTGGTGTTGACACAAAGCTGGTCTTTCTCACTGGTCTGAAATCCTCTTCTGCACCCTGTGATCCTTTGACAAAGTGTAGAGATGGTTCATCACGGCCCTCTTCTCGCCGTGGCCAGTCACTAAGCTGATGCTCAGTCAGTAAAGGAAGTGGTCATGTGACAGGGTGATGATGTTGGAACTCCTGGGGCCCCAGCCTCCTCCTCTGCAGATGAAGGGGTTCTCCCAGACCCTGGCTGAGTCACTCCCAGCTCTCAGTTTCCGAGGTCCCACCCAAGTGCCGCTGTGGCAGAGGGTGGTGAGAAGGTGCCTCTAGCTCTCATCACATGCTTGGCTCCCTTCTCCAGATCCCTGCTTACAGGAGAGCAGGACAGCGAGCCTGTGGCTTTCACATAACTTTCCAAATGTTAGAGCCCTTGGTGTCTTCCATGATATTTGTTGGTCACAATAGCTTTTTAGAGCTAGAAATAAAAATACATTTTATTAAAAGGTAGTATATGGAGAAGAAACTAGTGATAGTGGTACTTTTTTATACCACTTTTTTACGCCTTTACTGTGATAACTGTTTTCAGTCAGCTTTTGGAGATAACTAGAAAAGAAAACTCCCAAAAGAAAATTTATAAGTGATACATTTTCGGTCAGGAGATAATAGTATTATCAGGACTCTGTTGTCCTCATTTTGCGAAGGATACCCAATGGCCTGAAGCTGGAGCGAGAAGGCGCAAGATTCTATATGATGGGATCTTCGTTCAGGTAAATAGCCGTGAACCCTACTCTTCAGGGCTTAACGTTTGACGGGCCAGCATCTCCTTCTACAACTCACCTTCATGTCATTCCAAGATTTGGCTTCTCAACACCTGTCCCTATGATTCAAAACAGTTAATTCGTTTCCCCAAAGTGACTAATATGCACCCCAGGGGACCCCACCCAAAAAGTTTGACTTACATAAACAGCATCCTAGAATCCACCATTCCATTTTCCTCTAGTCTCTCCCAGCTCTGCCACCGTGGCCTTAGACCTTTTTTGTTGATCGTCAATTTTGCCAAGATTCAGTTGATTTGGAAGGCTTTACAATAAATCTGTGGGTATATGACTCACTTCCTAGCCAAAGCATAAGGCTAGAATTTTCCAGGGTGCCACAAGCAACTGTGCTGCTCCACCTCGTACCTATGTCCGGGCAGCAGGGCGTGACTTAGCAAGATGCTCAGAGCATGATTAGACCTGCAGAGCTCCGATGCAGTGCCAGCAAGCTGAGTTTTCCTCTCAAAGCAAAGTAGATAGTTTGTGGCTTTTACTGAAGTTGTTCCTTCGAAGTGTGTTCACTGACATTAAAATCGCTCTGGGATAATTTGTGTGTGTGTGTGTGTGTGTGTGTGAGAGAGAAAGGAGAAAAGCTAGTTGAGGATATGACTTTAGCCTATGTTCAGTGTCCCAATGCTTTCATCTTTTCTTAATCATTAGATTATCTCAAGACTGGGATTTCATGAGCTATCAGTTTGATTGCATTTTAACAGTCGCTTTGCGTAGTGAAAGTCTTAAGAATATCCAGTTCCTTTTCAGGAAAAGGAACTAATTACATGTATTAAACATGTGTTTATTTTGAGTCCAGCATGAGTAGTCTTTGTACCCAAACAGTTGAACTCAAACTGTTCCGTTTGTAAACCTGGGGAGGCACACATGAACCCCTGTTAGCCTGGAGATGTTGGGCGCATCTCTCTCTTGCTTCTTGACTGGGACCTGGTCTTCTTGCCCCCCCTCCAGTTTAGCTGGGAATTTGTCTTTTCTTGCCTTGCTCTGGTTCTGAAGAGAACACTTCGCCAAGTGCAGTGTGGTCACTTACTAGGGTATCTCAACCACAGCACACAATATCTACCTTCCATTTGTCAAACCTTTCTCATGGAAGGAAAGCCCCGTAACTCTAGGGAGAGAGTTTGTGTGTATGGGCCTTGGCTTTATTTTTGTCATACTATTTTTAGTTCTGGCCTTATAGGGCATTTATGGCCAAATTTTAACAATCCTTGTTTCCATGTATGTCTTTCACATATTTTCTAGCTCAGTCATCGTTGAACCCTGCATGTGAAGCAAAATTCTTTAATTGTTAAAACAACAGTATGAGACAAGGCTGCCTTTCTGTTGCGTAAACAATGCCAAAACCCTAACTGTAAACGAATACGGCTGTATTCCACAAGGCACTGCATCTCTGGGCTGCAAAATGAGAGCAGGAGAGAGGAGACCAGTGTTTGTATTTTATCAAGAAACTCATGTTTGTCAATTAAGTCAAGGGTTCTCTGTACTGTTTGAGGAGTACACGTATCTGCAACAAAAGAAAAGTTTGGCTCTCGTTGCCCTTTGAAGCAGCTTACAACTCTGTCCTCATTTTAATTTATGAAGATTCTAAGAGATCAACCTGAGATGGCATTGCCAGAAACCAGTGAAACAGGTTTGAGGTGACCTGGAAACTCTGAGCCTTCTGCAGAGTCCTTGGGAACTGAACCAGAATTACCCATCCTTACGCATCAGTTCTTAATCTCAGTTAAGACATTTAGATTTGTGGGCAATTTTTTCCTTTCCTGACATCAAGTAACATTCTTCTGGTAGTGTAGCTGGATTGGGCAGTGTCATCCCATTGTGTGGTTGGACTTTTAAAGTTTTGTTTTTCTTTTTATCAATAACACCGATACATAAAATGTTAGCTCCAGAAATTTGCTAGTCATATGGGATGCCCTGTGTTTCTGTTGCCTAATAAATATTAGTCTACTTTTGAGCAATATAAGAAGTTAAATTATTTTTACCATGAATAGGTGAACAAAGTACAGTTTTCACAAAAGCATATACAGTATCATCAACAAGTATGAGAAGAAAATCAGACTCCTGATTTCCAGTTCGCTATTCAACCCACCACTCGGTGCTATTCCTTTTTAGTAGATTTGTAAATCCCAGAAACTAATGAATTATGGTGGTTAGGTATTAAAAGTTTTTTGAACCAAGTTTGAAAAGTGGGAAATTTTTGTATAAAAATCACTGTCTCTAGTTTCTCTTAAACAAATTGGAAGATCTGGTATCACTGTGCCTTGTGTCCCCATATGAAAGCACGGGGGGCTGCCCCCTGTTGACTGCTTAGGGGTCAGGGTTCCCTCTGACTGTGCCTTGGCTCCCAGCTTCTCCCGGTCCACAGTCCCCACCCAGTGGGCCTGGCTCTGGGGCTACCATCTCCAGCCAGAGTTGGCTCTGTTTGACTTCTCTCTTCTGTTTGTCACAATCCCACGGGTTGATATTTATACGAAAACAGTCTTTACCTCTCTGATTTTGTCACCTGATCGCCCTGATTTTTACATTGAAGTGTTTTTATCTTCCTTTTAGAAATGTGAAACTGAGGCAGAGAGAAATGAAGTGTATTTCTTATATCACAGAGTAAGCCAACATCATGGTTTCAAGCAAAGCTCAGTGGCAAATTTAAATCTGCAGCATTATCCATGAGCACATATATGATTCCTTTATTCATTCATAGCTAATTTAAAGAGCAAACAAAGTGAAATGTTCGATTTTGGTGTTTAAATATGCATGATATTGACTTTTTTTGCATTGCATTAAATTAAGTTATATCTAATTTTCTGATTTACTTTAGGAAGTCTGTTTACTGTTAAAAGAAACCATTGATTCAAGAGTGAAGGAATACTTAGGAGTTCGTAAACAGCACAGGCCGTCAAATACAGAATTCACAAGATCCAATCCCTTGTCCTTAAAAGGTAGGAATGGAGTACTTTGATTTTGGATAAAATTTCTGCTTTGTAGAGATGGCAGTTATGTTTGACTCTGACTGTCACGTTAGTACAGTGATACATTTTTAAAAAATATGTTCTATTGAAGATGCATTCATTAGGTAAAGCAAATTAACCAGAAAGCCCTGAAGGGCTTTTAATGGTAGGCAAAGTACATAAAAATAGAAAATAAACATTCCTAAGTAAGCTATAAATTCTTTAAAGGATTTTTTTTTTTTTTTTGACAAGTCTTACAGCTGGGTTTACGTTAACACTGACTTGATTTGGGGCTTTATGCTTTTCTAAGTGCTTTCATTTATGTCACCCTATTTCAGAAGTTCTCACCTGGGGGTGCTTTTGCCCCAGGGGACATTTGGAAATGTCTGTGACAGTCTGGGTTGTCATAGCCATGGAGGGGAGCTACTGGCATCTGGTGGGTAGAGGCCAGGGCCGCCACTAAATATCCTACAGTGGCCAGGGCAGCTCCCCACAGCAAGACACTATCCCCCAAAATGTCAAGGGCACTGAGGTTGAAATATCCCACCCTGTTATCCTAATAACACTTGGAGAATGGTCATATCCTTGAGTTATGGGTGAAGAAGCTGAGGTTGCGAGATTAAGGGGGTTGCCCAAATAAAAGATCATCTTCTCGAGGACAAAGATTATGTCGTGTATCTGGCATCTTCCCTTCTCCTCTCCCTGCCCCCAGCACTTAGCTCAGTGCCTGATGCACAGATTCATATTCAGCATATTCAGGGATACGTTGAATATGGAGGAGGACTTGGGTCACAAGCAGCAGAACCTGACCCCCCAGACCAGTGTTCTCTCCACTCTGTCATTGTGGTGTTTTTAATTTTTTAATTTTAAGTTAGCATTTCATGGCACTCTTTGTAGTACACTTAACAGTCAGCCCATGTTAATCCTCAGAGGACAGCACTGTAGTGCTGTGAACTAGATTATGCTAATGCAACACCTCTTTAGGGAAAGAATGGTGTCATGTCCTCCCCTTTGAAGGCATACTTAATCTGCACTGTTTACTTGGGCACGACTGATAAGTGGGCAGATAGGTTAAATTTATTCAAACCGAAAGCCTCAGACAAATAGAATTTTCAGTCCAAACAATATTGTATTAGATGACGCTTGCCGGCATTTTGCTTAGTAATACTGTAAGTCTTCTTGAGAAAAGCCGTATGAGCTTGCATCCTTTGTACTCCAGCAGACCTGGCTAGTGTCACTTTCTAACTGGTACGGAAGGAAAAGGAGCAGAGAAAGTTCCAAGACCTCTGTCTCCACTGTGGTAGTGGCTTAGTCAGTCCCCATCCTCAACTGGCCCCTCCCCTGGCCTCCACTCCTACTGAGGGAAGAGCTAAATACTCACTTTCCCAGCCTCTCTCACAGGCAGGGAACACATGGTATTCTGGCCCCAAGATGAAACCCAAAGCCTTTCTTGGGCTCACGTGAGCAAGAAGTTTGTTTTTAAACAGAAAAGTGATCCTACTGTACATACAATTTTGTAATCTATTTTCTTCCCACCTAACATAATATAAAAGTCCTTTGAAACAAATATATCACCATTTTAAAAATTTAATAGATGTGAAGTGGTATCACATTGTGGTTTGGGTTTGCATTTCTTTAATGATTAGTGATGTTGACCATCTTTTCATGTGCTTATTAACTATTTGTGTATCTTTGGAGAAATGTGTGTTTATGTCCTTGGCCCATTTTTTAATTAGGTTGTTTGTTTATTTGTTTGAGTTGTAGGAATTCTTTATATATTCTGGATATTAATCTTTTATCAGATATGATTTGCAGATATTTTCTCCCTCCTGAGAGAAATGGAGAAAACAAAGCCTTTGACAATGTCCTTTGACCCAAACGTTTTTAATTTTGATGTAGCCAGTTGATGTCATATCCAACAAATCATTGCTGGATTCAGTGTCGCAAAGCTTTTCCCTATTTTTTTCTTCTAAGAGTTTTATAGACATTTAGGTCTTTGATTCATTTTGAGTTAATCTTTTATATGGTTTAAGTTAAGGGTCCAACTTTGTTCTTTCACATGTGGATATCCAGTTTTCCCAGTGCTATTTGTTGAAAAGCCTGTCCTTTGACCCATTGAGTGGCCTTGGCACCATTATAAAAAATCATTTGACCATAAATATGAGAGTTTATTTCTGGGCTCTCTCTTCTATTCTATTGGTCTATATGTCTGTCTTTATGCCAATACCACACTGTATTGATTACCATAGCTTTGTAGTAGGTTTTGAAATTAGGAAGTGTGACTCTTCCAACTTTGTTCTTGTTTTTCAAGATTGTTTTGGCCATTCGGGGTCCACATCACTGTTTTTAATGACTGCATAGAATTCCATTGTGTCCATAGTTTGATTTATCAGTGGGACATTTAGGTCACATCTAATATTTTCACTGTTGTAAACAGTGGTATGGTGGACACCTTGATGATCTAGATATTTGCACACTTCAATTTCTATATAATATTTCTCTCTATTGTTCATACATTGTAAGAGCTCCTTAAGGATATTCAAGCTCTGTGTGTTATGTATGTTGCAAGAGATTTTTCTCAGTTTGTCATTTGCCTCTGACTTGGTTTATTTTACAACCACAAACAAGAAGCCTTTTTTGCCCCTGGAGCCTCCGATGCCCCCTAGTGGGGGCAAAAGCCGGGCTTCTCTGTCAGAGATAAGCAGCACGGTTGATTGCCCAAGAAAGCAGGAGGGTGCTGATGCAACGGTGTGCCGCTCACTCCTCTCCCTCTTCGAAAGCCAACTAGGTGTGAAAGCAGCATCTCGCTTCTTTCTGCTTCTGAGAACAGTTAACCTTTGACTGAGCATGTCTTTCGATGTCCCCACCTGAGCTAGTCCTCTGCTGCCACCAAGCAGTCCAGGGTCCCGCCTCAGCTGGACACTCGAACACCTGCAGCAGCACGCTCGCTGGCGCCCTTGCGCTCGCTCTGGCTGATGCCCCACCTGTTGTCAACACTTGAGTTAGTGTAATCCCTTCACGTCACAGGTCTGATCTTTGTGCAGAAAGCCCTTCAGGATTTCCCCAGGGCTCCTGGGTGAAGGCCAAGATCTCTGTGGTAGCTGCCTCTCCAGCCTCATCTTGTGGCCCTTGTTCCTTCTTTCATGCTTAAGCCACAGCAGCTTCAGTTCCTCTCTTTCAAAGCCCCATTCTTCCACTCATCCTGGGGCTTCTGCCCGTGTTGGAGCGCTGGTCCTCCCCTGCCCCTCTGCCACTTTCAGCCCTCCGCTCAAAGTCCACACCCCAGGGAAGCGTATCCTGTCCACAGGTCCCCTGTTTCCAGGCCCAGGAACATCCTGCACTTTGGTTCACACCATTTGATTAACGTTGATCTCTCCACAAGTGTGCCGGTCGCCTGAAGACAGGTTCTGCCTCTTTTATGATCCATGGTATCCCCGGCATGGAGCATATTTTCCGGTTTGTAGTAGGTTCTTAATAAATGTTTGTACAAGTGATTAATTACACACATGGATACATCTTTCCTCTTCCTAGTAAGGTCAAGGCCTGCTGTAACTTACCTCGCCTGCCTTTTCCCTTCCTGCTACTCACTTTTCTATTTCCTGCAAACCTGCATTCTTTATACCTCTGTGTTTTTATGTTTTTAGGTTTCTCTTTTGTCTGGAAATCTCCTAGTATTCAGCTTTTAAGACCTAACTCACACATTACTTCTACAAAGTCTTCCTCAATTTCCTGTCTTCCTTGCTCATAGCACTTTTATAACATTGGTCACATTGTATTATAATTGTTTTATAATCAGTTTACCTGCCTTTCTCCCTTTCTTTGTTGGTAAAGATTGAGGGGTTGCCACCCCAGAGCCTCTTTTTTTTTTTTTTCCTCCAAATGACCGAGCTGCTTAATTCAAGAGCAGAAACTGGTAACTCTGCTTCACCTCATACTAAACTTAATTTCCTAAAGGTCAGAGCGCTGTTCGCCCATCTCTACCCCAGGGCTGCCTTCCATAGAGGGCCGAGATGCATCATCTTCTAGGACATGCACACCCGCAGGGATGAAGCAGACATACATAGTGATGCTGCCCATCCCAGACTGTTTATTATCAGCATCACTAAAAATGGAAACTGCCTCTTCTCGGCTGCTCCCATAGTCTTACTTTAAATGCCTTTTTCTTCCAAAGGAATTTCAGAGCCATGAACTGTAAGGAAGGCCTTGCCTATTTCCTCCTCACTGTTTAGTTCTGTGTCTCATGTTCCCTGAAAATAGAGTTGTTCTTACTGTCTTGGTGACTAGGGTGAATGTGTATGGTTTTCGCTTTTGTGTAAATTGGGTATCTTCCTTATTTGTGTGAGTTTCTTACCTTTCCCGTTTCCAGATCTGAGTAACGATAACGTACTTCATCATGGGATAGACACTTAACACACGATGCTTGGTGAGCTGAAGTCACCAGGCTGGTAACTTTGCTGATTGCTTTAATAAAATTAATATATTTCATCCTCTGAGTTATCTTTATTAAAAAAAATAACATAAATGGCTTTTAAGCCATTTCCTTAATCATGTAATATTGAGGAATACAAAGAGTACTGGCAAAAACTCCGTCAGCGAACAGCATAGCACAGACATTTGCCAGTAGCCTCAGCCTTCTTAAGTCACCTGGAATTGTTATTTCAATGGATTTAGTAAAAATTAACGTTGTAAGAAAGTTTCTATTTTAAAGACTTAGCTCAGATTCTGTCAACTCTACCTCATTAATATTTTTCCCCTTAGCTTTGCCAATATTGAGTGTTACTGGTATTTTTAATTTTTGCCAGTCTGACAGGCCAAAAATCAAAAAAAGAGATGTCATGCCCTTTGATATTTATCTTTCTGTTTTTATGTGTTTATTGACTGAACTGCATATTTACAACTATTGCTTACCTTTGTATTGGGTCGTTTGCCTTTTTCATCTTAAATTTTTGTTTTTCCCTGTGTCACTCGCTTGGTCAGGACCCTTCTTATTA